CCTGGAATGTTCTCAGCACACACATCAGGGTCCCTCCCACCTGAGGAGAGAAGAAGCAGCATCTCAGCTGCCCCCACAGAAGCCAGAGGAGCCCCAGAGCTGCTGTCACTGGAGGAGAGGAGCGGGGCCTTCCACTCCCTGCTCAGCCAGGCTCTGATGCTGGTGCCTTCTAGAGGGAGGAGGGGGCAGGCAGTGCAGCTCTCCTCCACTGAGGGGGAGTCCCAGAGCAGTCACTCAGCTGAGAACCATGGCCCCCAGCATGGTAGCAGTGTCCACTCCTTCTTTTTTTTTGTTGTTAATTGGGTTATTTTTTTTGTGTGTGTGTGTGTGTGAGTATATTTATTCTATGATGTTTACACAATGATGAAATCACATACTGATAATTTTCTCAAATCATAGCTCATCATTAAATGACTTTATTATTGAACACAGTGGGTATGCTTTTTTTTTTTGGGGGGGGTACCAGGAATTGAACCCAGAGGTGCTTAACCACTGAGCCACATCTCCAGCCCTTTTTATATTATTTTTATTTTGAGACAGGGTCTTGCTGAGCTGCTGAGGGCCTCACTAAATTGCCGAGTCTGGCTTTGAACTTGCAATTCTCCTGCCTCAGCCTCCCAACCCTCTGGGATTACAGGTGTGCACCACCACACCCAGCAGTTTTTGGTGGGTACAAAGCCAAAAAGCACAACCAAAAGATAAAAGAGTGGAGAAAGGTAAAGAGAGAAATGGGGTTTATTTCCAAAGCAAGGCTCTCCCCAAGGAATAGAAGTGTGGGGATTTTATTTGGGGAGCTTATCCATATTCATACAGGAAAGCAATTTAGGGGAGGACACATTCCTGAGTATGGTCAACTTAAAGTGTACATTGCTCAGCTCAAGGTCATAGAGCCCAAGTTCCTAAGGTTAGGATGGTGGGCATGCACAATTCAATATTATAATGATCCAGGTTTATTCTAGGTCACCTAAAAGAATAAAGCAAAGTGGCTGGGTGACTTTAGCTGATTCTCTGAAAGTCTGAAAGAGTCTTAGATGAAATGTTAACAGTTATCCACTTTATGCTTTGAATATGGCCCTTGCTGCTCTGCCACTGAGATTTATTTTTTTTAATTTTTATTGTTGGTTGTTCAAAACATTACATAGTTCTTGACAAATCATATTTCACACTTTGATTCAAGTGGGTTATGAACTCCCATTTTTACCCCGTATACAGATTGCAGAATCACATCAGTTACACATCCATTGATTTACATATTGCCATACTAGTGTCTGTTGTATTCTGCTGCCTTTCCTATCCTCTACTATCCCCCCTCCCCTCCCCTCCCATCTTCTCTCTCTACCCCATCTACTGTAATACATTTCTCCCCCTTGTTTTTTTCCCTTTCCCCTCATTTCCTCTTGTATGTAATTTTGTATAACCATGAGGGTCTCCTTCCATTTCCATGCAATTTCCCTTCTCTCTCCATTTCCCTCCCACCTCTAATCACTGTTTAATGTTAATCTTCTTCTCATGCTCTTCCTCCCTACTCTGTTCTTAGTTACTCTCCTTATATCAAAGAAGACATTTGGCATTTGTTTTTTAGGGATTGGCTAGCTTCACTTAGCATAATCTGCTCTAATGTCATCCATTTCCCTGCAAATTCCATGATTTTGTCATTTTTTAATGCAGAGTAATACTCCATTGTGTATAAATGCCACATTTTTTTTTATCCATTCATCTATTGAAGGGCATCTAGGTTGGTTCCACAGTCTTGCTATTGTGAATTGTGCTGCTATGAACATCGATGTAGCAGTGTCCTGTAGTATGCTCTTTTTAGGTCTTTAGGAAATAGACCAAGAAGGGGAATAGCTGGGTCAAATGGTGGTTCCATTCCTAGCTTTCCAAGAAATCTCCATACTGCTTTCCAAATTGGCTGCACCAATTTGCAGTCCCACCAGCAATGTACAAGTGTACCCTTTTCCCCACATCCTCGCCAGCACTTGTTGTTGTTTGACTTCATAATGGCTGCCAATCTCACTGGAGTGAGATGGTATCTTAGGGTGGTTTTGATTTGCATTTCTCTGACTGCTAGAGATGGTGAGCATTTTTTCATGTACTTGTTGATTGATTGTATGTCCTCCTCTGAGAAGCATCTGTTCAGGTCCTTGCCCATTTGTTGATTGGGTTATTTGTTTTCTTATTGTCTAATTTTTTGAGTTCTTTGTATACTCTGGATATTAGGGCTCTATCTGAAGTGTGAGGATTAAAGATTTGTTCCCAGGATGTAGGCTCTCTATTTACCTCTCTTATTGTTTCTTTTGCTGAGAAAAAACCTTTTAGTTTGAGTAAGTCCCATTTGTTGATTCTAGTTATTAACTCTTGTGCTATGGGTGTCCTATTGAGGAATTTGGAGCCCAACCCCACAGTATGTAGATCGTAGTCAACTTTTTCTTCTATCAGACGGCGTGTCTCTGATTTGATATCAAGCTCCTTGATCCATTTTGAGTTAACTTTTGTGCATGGCGAGAGAAAGGGATTCAGTTTCATTTTGTTGCATATGGATTTCCAGTTTTCCCAGCACCATTTGTTGAAGATGCTATCCTTCCTCCATTGCATGCTTTTAGCCACTTTATCAAATATAAGATAGTTGTAATTTTGTGGATTGGTTTCTGTGTCCTCTGTTCTGTACCATTGGTCCACCCGCCTGTTTTGGTACCAGTACCATGCTGTTTTTGTTACTATTGCTCTGTAGTATAGTTTGAGATCTGGTATCGCTATACCGCCTGATTCACACTTCCTGCTTAGAGTTGTTTTTGCTATTCTGGGTCTTTTATTTTTCCATATGAATTTCATGATTGCTTTCTCTATTTCTACAAGAAATGCCATTGGGATTTTGATTGGCATTGCATTAAACCTATAGAGAACTTTTGGTAATATCGCCATTTTGATGATGTTAGTTCTGCCTATCCATGAACAGGGTATATTTTTCCATCTTCTAAGATCTTCTTCTATTTCTCTCTTTAGGGTTCTGTAGTTCTCATTGTATAAGTCTTTCACCTCTTTTGTTAGGTTGATTCCCAAGTATTTTATTTTTTTTGAGGATATTGTGAATGGAGTGGTTGCCCTAATTTCCATTTCAGAAGATTTGTCACTGATATACAGGAATGCCTTTGATTTATGCGTGTTGATTTTATATCCTGCCACTTTGCTGAATTCATTTATTAGCTCTAATAGTTTCTTTGTAGACCCTTTTGGGTCTGCTAGGTATAGAATCATGTCAGCTGCAAATAGTGATAATTTAAGTTCTTCTTTTCCTATTTTTATGCCTTTAATTTCTTTCATCTGTCTAATTGCTCTGGCCAGTGTTTCAAGAACTATGTTGAACGGAAGTGGTGAGAGAGGGCATCCCTGTCATGTTCCAGATTTTAGAGGGAATGCCTTCAATTTTTCTCCGTTCAGAATGATGCTAGCCTGAGGCTTAGCATAGATAGCTTTTACAATATTGAGGTATGTTCCTGTTATCCCTAGTTTTTCTAGAATTTTGAACATAAAGGGATGCTGTACTTTGTCGAATGCTTTTTCTGCATCTATCGAGATGATCATAGGGTTCTTATCTTTAAGTCTATTGATGTGGTGAATAACATTTATTGATTTCCATATATTGAACCAGCCTTGCATCCCAGGGATGAATCCTACTTGATCATGGTGCACAATTTTTTTGATATGTTTTTGTATCCGATTCGCCAGAATTTTATTGAGGATTTTTGCATCTAGGTTCATTAGAGATATTGGTCTGTAGTTTTCTTTCTTTGAAGTGTCTTTGTCTGGTTTAGGAATCAGGGTGATGTTGGCCTCTTAGAATGAATTTGGAAGTTCTCCCTCTTTTTCTATTTCCTGAAATAGCCTGAAAAGTATTGGTAGTAATTCTTCTTTAAAGGTTTTGTAAAACTCTGCTGTATACCCATCTGGTCCTGGGCTTTTCTTAGTTGGTAGTGTTTTGATGGCTTCTTCTATTTCCTCAATTGATATTGGTCTGTTTAGGTTGTCTATATCCTCCTGACTCAATCTGGGCAGATCATATGACTTAAGAAATTTATCGATGCCTTCACTATTTTCTATTTTGTTGGAGTATAAGGATTCAAAATAATTTCTAATTATCTTCTGTATTTCTGAAGTGTCTGTTGTGCTATTGCCTTTTTCATCCCTTATGCTAGTAATTTGAGTTCTCTCTCTTCTTCTCTTCATTAGCATGGCTAAGGGTCTGTCGATCTTATTTATTTTTTCAAAGAACCAACTTTTAGTTTTGTCAATTTTTTCAATTGTTTCTTTTGTTTTGATTTCATTAATTTCAGCTCTGATTTTAATTATTTCTTGCCTTCTACTTCTTTTGCTGCTGTTTTGCTCTTCTTTTTCTAGGATTTTGAGATGAAGTGTGAGATCATTTATTTGTTGGTTTTTTCTTTTTTTAAGGAATGAACTCCAGGCAATGAATTTTCCTCTTAGGACTGCTTTCATTGTGTCCCATAGATTCCGATATGTTTTGTCTGTGTTTTCATTTATCTCTAAGAATTTTTAAATTTCCTCCTTGATGTCTTCTATAACCCATTGATCATTCAGTAACCTATTGTTCATTCTCCAAGTGATGCATGATTTTTCCTTCCTTCTTTTATCATTGATTTCCAGTTTCATTCCATTATGATCAGATAAGATGCATGGTATTATCTCTACTCCTTTATAATGTCTAAGAGTTGCCCTGTGACATAATATATGATCTATTTTTGAGAAGGATCCATGTGCTGCTGAGAAAAAAGTGTAACTGCTTGATGTTGGGTGGTATATTCTATATATGTCAATTAAGTCTAGGTTATTAATTGTATTATTTAGTTCTATAGTTTCTTTATTCAACTTTTGTTTGGAAGCTTTTGTTTTGGTAGCTTGTTGGAAGAAATTTCCCTACTGTTTTATAGCAGTCAGAGCACAGAGCGGCACACAGGAGGCCTTCTCAGTCTGTGGCAAAAAGAGAAGGCTCACCCACACAGGGGAAGTGCTCACTAAAGGTAACAGATGTGGTCTGGCTCTGTGATTGGAAGGTCCCCCAAACCCTCAGAGCCCTCAGCTGGGGAGCCACAGGGCTGGGCCAGATTGGAAAAGGTCAGGGCTTTGGAGCAGGCAGGTGAGGGGTGCAGATGTCCCCCATTTCCCAGCCATGGAGCCTGGACCAAATAGCATGGCCCCCTCAGGCCTCTGCCTCCCTGACCTGCAGAAGGGGTGACAGCAGGTCATGACATGAGCACCCAGTGCTGCTCCTGCTTCTCAGCTGTGGCCCCCAGGGTGGAGGGCGTGACCCCTGACCTCCTGTCCCACCCCAGGGAGGAGGAGGCAGCTGCACTCACCTCGCACAGACAACTCGGTGCCTGGTTCAGACTTGTACTCCTTATCATAAGGGGTCGATTTCTGGAACTTCACACAGTAGTAGGTGCCGGCGTCTGCTGGGGTGACGTTACTAATGCGGATGGAAAAGTCCTTGTTGTCCCTCTTTGTGACATCTGAGAGAACTGTGACTCGGGGGAAGTAGCCTCCTAAGAACTTGTAGATCAACTCCCGGCCTGGCCCTGCCCCCTTAAACCACAGATGGGGACCCACGGGGAGCAGGTAGGTCACAGAGCAGTGCAGAGTGGCCGACTCTCCAGCAGCGACAGACACTGGCTTCTCAGGCTGAATCACCTGCAGCTCCTGTGCAGCCACTCCTGGGGGAGACACAGGGTGGTCACTGTTCATCCTGGGGGTCCTCTTGGTTTATCACGTGGTGTCAGCAAAGCCTGTCACTGACTGAGTGCCCACAGAGTGGCCTTGAGCTCAGCACAGGGCATGTGTCCTCACACTGAGCCTCCCCTGGTCTGTACCTCCACACTGTGAGACACCTGTCCCTGAGGCCCAGAGCCCTGAGCAAGGTGGAGGGAGGGGACTTGAGGGCCTGAGCCCTCCCCTGAGCTCTCATGTGTCACCAACTATTTGTTCCTCTTCCCTTTCTGACCACAAGGTCACTGGCACTTCATGGTCCATGACATTGGGTGGGGTCCTAGTGCTCTTGAGTCTCCTGAGTTTTGGGGAGGTGTGAGTACAGTTAGTGGGAAATGCATTTGACTGTGAGTCTTGGCTCAGCTTCCCTGTTCCACAGAAGACCTCTGCTCATGATGGGGTTCCCTCCTTCAGCCTAGAGTGATCATGGTGCATACAGCAATGAACGTGCAGCTCAAGTAAGAAATGAAACATTGCTGAAGCCCCTCACATATCTCCCCACAGTACAACCACATTGTGTAAGTTTCTAATGCTGCTGTGACAAAGGACTGCACACCTAGTGCCTACAGCAACAGAAATCTATCATGTTATGGTTGTGACCATCAGAAGCCCAAATTTGCTGTCACTGGGCCTCCACCCAGGGCTCCTCGTGAGAGCTGTTTCCTTAGGAGGCTGTTCCCTGCTCTCCACACCCAGGGGGCTGCCTGGGCTGCTTCCCCTTGTTTCCCATCCTCCTATCCCTCCTCCCTCCTGCTTCCCTGATCCATGGGCAGGTGGTCAGAGGGTAAGAGCTAGGGAAGGACATGGCATGGGGGAGGCAAGAGGGTGGAACAATGAGGATAAATCTCCACATTCAGGAGGAGGAGCCTGTCCACAGTGGCCACCGTGTGGTGTGGGGCATTTGTGAGAAAGATAATTCGTTCTCTTTTCTCTTGACCCCACTGGTCCCCCTCCCAAGGACAGTCCTACATGACATCCATCAATGGAGTTTCTGCTGCTCTGTGGGTAGCCCTGTCTCTGCTGCTTCCTTGATGCTGCTGCTGATCCCCACCTCCCACCTCGTCCATGGCTGCCATCCAGTGGGATGGGTGGCTCCTGGTACAAGGAGAACAGGGGAAGGAACAATTTGAGCTCTCTCTCCTTCAAAGATATAATTCTCTCTCCTTCAAAGATATAAATTGAGGTTACAAATCGTCTCCCCTGGGCAATGTGCTTGGACTTTGAAGTGCTGCTACCAGTGACAGGCTAAATGTCTCTCCCTTAAATTAAACTGTCACAAAATAAAATAATTAAAAACACAGTTGATACCACTGTTGCTCTCCTGGATGACCACCCTAGCCCCTCCGCATTACTCAACTTTGGGTAATTGTAACTAAAGTACTTGACAAGAACAACTTGGTGGAGGAAAGGTTGTTTGGGGCTCACAGTTTCAGAGGTCAGTTCCACTTAAGCTGGCACCAAGGCAGGTCGTCCATGACAGGAGGGCATGTGGTGGACACCTGCTCAGTCCATGGCAGCCAGGGTGGGAAGCCAGGATCATGGAGGACACATGAGTGTCCAGGGCCAAAATATCATCCTGTAGGCATGTCTCTAATGACCTGCTGGCCCCAGCAAGTCCCCACCTGCCTATGGGTATGACCCATTCAAATCACAGTAACAACAAATGGATTAACACCTGGATCAGGTTGAGGTTCCATGATTTGTCGTTTCCCCTCTGACCCTGCTGCGTTGTCGAACACAGGAGCTTTTCAGGGAACCCCTCACACACAAACCATAACCCCCTCTGAGTCTCATTGCCGCACCCTACAGAGGAGGGCATGTCCCCACAGTGGCCACCTCAGACCACCAGGGACTTGCCAGGTAAACATTTAAAGGGAAAGGGGGAAATTTGGCCATCAGCAGGTATTAGCCATGTGGAAGGTTTTGTTTAAGAGGACAAATAATGGATGAAGGGAAGGATTATCCTTTGGTGGTGTCACCCTAGGGACAGGCCATTCCTTGGAGATACCAGATCTTTCTCTTTCTTCTTAGCAACCAGAGGCAGGGACTGAACACCACTGCTGAGGTAGGTAAAGGCATAACACAGGGGAAAAGGGAGGGGAAAGGCTGCCACTTCAGACACCTGCTAAGTCAATGCAGCTAAAAGGAACTTTAAACCTTGTGCTCTGAGCTCATGGAAAATCTAGCAAACATGATGGCAGCCTTAGGCTACTTTTCAAGTTAAAAATATGATACAGGGGAGAAAATAAGCAGGAATGAAGAGCATAGGTAATCTCTTAGTATAGTTATGTAATAAATACAGTAGTGTAGAGGCATGCATACTACGTAACTAAGCCAACTCCAACTTTCATAATTTGACTTGATTGGAAACCCTAAATTTATAGGTTACACTTTTATATTAAACATTTTATACAACAAACAATATCATACGATATAAAGCATGCTGATTTCATTTTGTGTGACTACAGTATAGTTGGAAATAGCCTACATGTACCAATTCTAAAATTTCATGTACTTCAGTAATAAGAAGAATTAAATTATAGTTATAGGTGAGAATAAACTCAAACACCATGTCCCCTATAATCTTTAGAAACAACTAAATATAAAACAGAAAAATATAGGCATTTATTTGAAGCCTTGCCAATATTTCCCACAGTTATGGTCTCGTAGCTATAAAAGCCCACTCCATAGTGGGCAAGGAGCTCTAACATAAGGAATAATAAGTTAAAACAAATGTTCCTTTGGGGGACTTAAAGGTGGCTTGATGAATAAACCCTATAAACCCACAGCTGAAGCAGTTCCTACAGGGAGGTTCCACGGTGGCCAAGCAGAGGGGCCAGCACTCACTCCTCACAAAGAAGAACCAGGCCACAGGTGGGCACTGCATTTGAGATGAATGATGTGGAGAATGCTGGGCCTCAGCTGGGAGAGACTAAGTTACATGGGACTCGGAGACCCTGGACAAGATCACAGGAAGAGGGACAAGAAGATACTCGAATCACTCACTGGAGAGCACATGGCCTCCTTGATACCTGGGGCTAGAAAACCTGGACCTCCATGTGTGGAACTGGGTTCCTCTCTCTCACCCTGCACAAAAGTCAACTCAAAGTGGATCAAAAACCTGGGGAAGAAGACCAGAAACTCGGAAACTCCTAGAAAAAAATGTAGAACCAACACTCCAATATCTCAGCACAGGGGTTGACTTCCTTAAAAAGACTCCTAAAGTATAAGAAATTAAATCAATAAATGGGATGCAAATTAAAAAGCTTCTGCAGAGCAAAGGAAACAATTAATTGCATGGAGAGACATCCTAGAGCACGGGGGATCTTTGCCACCTGCTCCTCAGATAGGGCAGTAATATCCAAAATAGATAAAGGACTCAAAAATCTTAACACACACACACACAAAAAAAACCAATTAATACATGGCATAAGAACTCAACAGACACTTCTCAAAAGAAAAAATACAAATTTCTTAATAAATATGTGGAAAGGTGTTCAACATCTTTAGCAATCAGGGAAATGCAAATCCAAACCACACTGTGGGGCTGGTGTTGTGGCCCAGTGGTAGAACACTGCCTATCCCATGTGAGGCCCTGGGTTCAGTTCTCAGAACCGCATAAAAATAAGTAAATAAAAGTATTGTGTCAAACTATAACTAAAAATTTAAAAAAAAAAACTACACTGTGATTTCAGCTCAGTTCAGTCAGAATGACAAATACCAAATATTCAAATAATAAGTGTTGGTGAGGATGTGGGGAAAAGGTGACTCATACACTGCTGGTGGGACTGCAAATAAGGGTAACCACCGTGGAGAGCAGTATAAAGATTCCTCAAAACAAAGCAGGATGAAGGGAAGGGAAGAGGATGGCAATGGGAAAGACAGTACTATCAATGGTGGCAGGGGATTAATTGGTGCCATTGCTACTGTTTACAGAAGCACAATTTACCCAGGAAGTGGAGGGTGGGGGCCTACAGAGCCATTGCCTAAGTCTCAATGACCACTTTTTAGAGACCAGAATTTCAGACATAACTTTCCTATGCTCATATATGAATACATGACCAGTGTACCTCCACATCATGTACAACCATATGAATGAGAAGTTTACTCCTCGTATGTGAAATATGTCAAAATGCATTCTATTATCATGTATAACTAAAAGAAACAAATAAACTTAAAACAAAAATCTGGGAACAAAGCCATCATATGACCCAACTATCCCTCTCTTTGTTATACACATATAAAAATCTAAAATCAGCATACTGATTACAGGTTAAAGCCTCATCAATATTTATAGCAGCACGATCAAGCTATAGAGCCAAACTTATTGCCTGTCTCCAGATGAATGGATAAAGAAAATGTGGTATGTATACACAATGGAGTAATACTCAACCTCAAAAACAAATGAAATTATGGCATTTGCCAGTAAATGGATGGAACTAGACACCATGATGCTGGATAAATAAGCCAGATCCAGGAAGTTGTAAATGTTTCCACTGATATGTGGAAACTAATCCAAAATAAAAGAGAAGATCAGTGGAGCCAAGAAAGGGGATGGGGGGTGGGACTTTATAAGGGAAGAACAGAGGAATGAGTCTGAACTAACTTTCCTGTGAACATGTGAATACACAATAGTGAATCTCAGCCTTGTCTAAACCCACAAGGCACTAATTTTTAAAAACTGTTAAAAAAAATCCTGTATCTGCATATGTACAGTTACACACACACACACACACACACACACTCTCTCTCTCTCTCTCTCTCTCTCTCTCTCTCTCTCTCAAACATATATAGAAGTATTGCCTGCCATCATAGTATGTAAGGTAATTATGTTTTAGGAGGTACCAAGGATTGAACTCAGGAATACCCAACCACTGAGCCACATCCCCAGCCCTATTTTTTATTTTATTTAGAGACAGGGTCTCACTAATTTGCTTAGTGCCTCCCTTGCTGAGGCTGGCTTTGAACTCGCCATCCTCCTGAGCTGCTGGGATTACAGGTATGTGCCACCACACCCAGCATATGTAGTAAATTATACTACATGGGGACGCTCAGGAAAATATCTGGCAGCACATCCAGCACATTTTTGGTGAATACCAAGTACAGCCAGAGATCCAATTCTG